ATAAATGCATACGTGTATTTTATACACTTAGCATTAATCACTAATATGACTGATGTTTTTATCATTTGTAAGATATTAGTCATATTGCTTGACATAAGTATAAATGCATTAATATGAACTATGTAATTATCAATTGTATTTGGCCTCAATTCATTGACACAAAGCTGTAGTCATCTACCACATGGGATGTGGCTTGATGTCTAGATCCCACAATTTCTGCATGTTGGTTAGTCAGTGTGGTTAACAACAACAACAAGAAAGATTAAAATATTTAAAATGAGACTGCTAGTGGTTCATGCTTGTAATCCTAATTACTCAGCTAGTGGTTCATGCTTGTAATCCTAATTACTCAGGAGGCTGAGGATTGCAGTTGGAAGTCAGCTGGGTCAGGAAAGTCCATGAGACTCTTATCTCCTATTAACAGACAAAAGGCCAGAAATAAAGCTGAGGCTCAAGCGGTAAAGACTGCTAGCCTTGAGCCAATAAGCTCAGGAACAGTGCCCAGGTATCAAGGTTAAGCCCTAGGACTAACACACACAAACACAGACAGACACACGTGCTCATGTGTGCATGCATGCACACGTGTGTGCACACACACACAGAGACAGATTAATAGTATAGAAAATCAGGCACTTTTTCTTCTTCTGCATTTCAGGTCAATTGGACAGTACAGCATATGTTTTATGTATTAGTTTTCTCCCTGCCTTGGGCAAATATCAGTGAGTGGAGTTAGTGTGTTGTAAGATATGCATGAAGTAGGTACCCTGTACTAGGGCCATAGTGGAATGGGTGGGTAGCACACCACTAATGCAGAGAAGAATACAAACCAGCTCAATGACATTTTAAAACATGACCCTCTCCCATAAGCACCACACAGATACATCTAGAAACACTAACACCAAGAAGTCTCAATTATGCCCTTTGGGTAATCTGCCAACATCCCCTTCACTCTTTCATCATAATTCTACCACATTTCCTAATTGGGAAATACTTGGGGAGCTTTCTGGTATTGAAATACTATGAGTGGTGGGCCTACAAATTGCTGTAACTGTGTATGATTTGGGGTGCACATAGAAACACTTCTCTTGGATATATAAATAGGAATAAAATTTCTGGGACACAGTGATGTTTCCAACTTTTATTGAGACAACCAAAATATTTGTGAGTTAACTCCACCAACTCTCTTCCCTAGGTGTTTCAAGTAGTCACTAATACTTGGTATTCATCTTTGAAACAGTATTTTCAGCTTCATATTAGATATACAGTGATACAGTATTATGATTTCAAGTTACATTTCTGTGATGTTGAATTATTCTAACCACATTTTCACGTATTTACTGTTCCTTTGTGTATCTCTTCTGTGAAGAATTTTTATAATTATTTTCTCTTTTTGATTTATGACAGATTCCAGAAGCTGGTATTTTGTTAGGTTGTATTTGTTTACGAAGACTTCTCCTCTGTCACTGGCTTGCATCAAATAGCATTATTGAGGGACGACTTGTCTCCCTTATACTATTTTCCCTTTGGAAACATACAACCACTCCTAAGGCTTAGCTATAAAGAAGCACATCTTCCATCCCAAAAGGCTTCCTCAGACCTTTTGCAGTCAATTTGTACCCTGATCTCTATCCACAGACAACTGGGAATCTATGTTGGAGCAGTTATGGCTTTCTGAAAAAATATTTCTGGAACCTGAATTAAAGAGCAAGCTTCAGATGTTAAAGGGTCTTTTTTTTTTTGTCAGTTGTGGGGCTTGAACTCTGGGCCTGGGCGTTTTCCCTGAGCTCTTCAGCTCAAGGTGAGTGCTCTACTGCTTGAGCCACAGCACCACTTCCAGTTTTCTAGTGGTTTACTGGAGATGAGAGTCTCACGGAGTTTACTGCCTGGGCTGGCTTTGAACCATCATCCTCAGATCTCAGCCTCCTGAATAGCTAAGATTACAGGCATGAGCCATCAGTTAAGGGGTCTTAGATATAGAACTACTTGCTTCTCTTTGACCCGTAATAAATAAAACTTCTTTGTCCTAGGACCAATTAATGCCCTTCCCAGTTTTCAAACTTTGGAGTTTTATCTTCCAGAGAGAAATTATTAGCATTCCAAAGTATTACAGAAGAATATAAAGCAAAAGTTGCTCTTGCTTAAAAAGGGAAAAGAAGAGAGCAATTGTCCTAGTCCTATGTAAAAATCATAGATGAAGCTAGTCATTGGTGGCTCATACCTGTAGTTCTAGCTACTCGGAAGCTGAAATTTGAGAATTGTGGTTCAAAGCTAGCCAGGTCAGGAAAGTTCATGAGACTCTCTTATTTCCACAAAACAAACAAATATAGAAGTAAAGAAGTGAGTCAAGTGGTAGAGCAGAAGTCTTGAGCAAAAAAATCTCAAGGTCCTGAGTTCAAGCTCTAGTAGCAGCATGTACACACACACTCATACACACACACACACACACACACACACACACACACACACTGTATCATAAAAACACTGTCTTTTGTTGCTATTCAACATGAAGAGACAGTGGGAATTAATGAGGGAGTCTAGATGTTTATCATTTCCCAACTAATAAATGCTCAAGAAGATTATTCCAATCAGAAAATACTAAAAATAGCCAAGTGTTCCTGGGACCTGCACTAGAGACAGAGTGAGTTTCTGTGACTGATGAATTTCATCTTGCTGAAATGGAGTTGCTGGAAGTCCTCTGTGGTAAAATAAACAACAACAACAACAACAAAAAGGTGTTTCAAACACTCAATGAAATCAACTGACCTTAACCTTCTAAAGAAATCCAGCCAGGGATTATCACAGCCAAATATGGTGCCCTGGCACAGTGTTAGTTGTAGGTCAAGGGAATTTGGAGCAGCAGATGCTAGAGGAGGCTCTACACTTGTGACTCATTTCTGCTCAGTCTGGCCCCAGCAAGGAAGAAAATGATGACCACTGGTCTTTCTCTGAAGAGTTTTTATTAGCTGAATTCATGTGATGTGAAGAAAGTCTGCAGTCTGTGAACACATGAACAGACTTTTGTCAGACTTTGATGAGCTTCTATTTTGGCCTCAGTCATTTACAAAATCTATTTTCTTTCCTTGATCCGATATATTTTGTCCCTGTCCACTGTCTATTTCTCCATGTCCATCAAATTTTCCTAATTATCATTTAATCTTTCCCTTAACATTCCCTGCTCCCTATCTAAAAGGAAGGAATATAAGCTTCTATCCTATTTTGTGCTAATGACTAATTACAAGTTTTATCTGCAACAAATCGGTGTATGTGACACATTTGTGTAGATTTTCCCTCCTTTATAATCTATTTGTTCCCACATCTATTCCCACATACCTTCAGTGGGAAAAGAGAAAGAATACTTTTTTTTTTAACCCCTACACTTCTTATAGTTGTTTAGGGTTTAGAGGATTCATTGATAGTATTCTTCAATTACAGTTATCAAGGTTTCTCAGTCTTTTGTTTCAAGGTGGAATTGTTTCAGACAATTTTTTGGGGGGTCCAGTCATGGGGCCTGAACTCTGGGCCTGGGCACTGTCCCTCAGCTCTTCAGCTCAAGGCTAGCGCTCTACCACTTGAGCCATAGTGTCACTTCTGGCTTTTTTTTTCTGCTTATGTGGTGCTGAGGAATGGAGCCCAGGGCTTCATGCATGCGAGACAAGCGCTCTACCACTGAGCCACAGCGCCACTTTCAGCTTTTTTACTTTTTGCTTATGTGGTGCTGAGGAATCGAACCCAGGGCCTCATGCATGCAAGGCAAGCGCTCTACCACTGAGCCACCTTCCCAGTCCTCAGACAATTTTTTTTCTGTGATATTTTTTTATCTACCCATGACCCTCCAGAATATACTCTGCCACTTGAGTCACACTGCCATGCCGCTTGATGATGTTTTGTTTTTGAGATCAAGTCTTGCTTACTCTGCCTGAGCAGGCCTCAAGTCATGATGCTCTTGCTTCTATCTCTGGAGAATACTTGCACTACTGGCATATGCTGCCACACCTGGCTCTGAAGGGCCTTAAATTCTTAAAACATTGAATCTGGAAGGATTAATATGATTTGAGTCACATTAAAGATGGTTGGTTCCTTTATTCTTAGGATTTTTATTAAATGGCCTATGCTGTAACTTAATGCTATGGAGAAACTTGGAGCTATCTATTATGAAAGTAAACTATTGAAATTAAGAAAAAAATTTCTATTTTAGTAAATATGTTCAGCCCTAGATTACAGATTCTATTGGAGATGTGCAGACACCACATCTCTGTAGCGTTTCCATATGTATGCATTTAGTGGTACTCTGCCACACATTAGAACACATACAGGTTCTAATCACAGTTGAACCTTCACAGATCACAGTTCATTCTCTGACTTTGTGACTGCTCACCGATGGCCCATGACAAATGCCATTACAGGCAATCCCTCTGTAATCCCCATGCTTGTGGGCTTAAGCAGCAAAGTGGATTTTTTTTTTAACTATTTCAGGAAGGACGTCTACCTCCCTTTGCCATTTCTCCCGAGTTGGGTCTCTTTTGTATAAAAGTAGGTATAGCTGGGCACTGGTGGCTCACACCTGTAATCCCAGTTAATCAGGAGGCTGAGATCTGAGGATTGTAGTTCAAATCTAGCCTGGGCCGGTAAGCCTGTGACTCTTATCTCCAATTAATCACCAGAAAATCGAATGTGGCTCTTAAGTGGTAGAGTGCTAACCTTGAGCTGAATAGCTCAGGGATAGCACCCAGGCCCAGAGTTCAAGCCATATGACTGACAAAAAAAGTAGGGATATCAGAAATATTGTTAACCAATAAGTGAACACTTTTCTCAGTAGAGTAGTTAGGTGGGAAAAAAATCTCTTGTTTGAAAAATCCTTATTACCTTGTTAACGTACCATACCCTCAATTGCTTATTTGTAATAAGTCTTTGCTTATTGTAGTAAATAGCATAATCTTATGTTCAAGTCTAAAAGTTCTATCAGAAAAGTCACAATAAATTTCTATTAAATAATTCCTTTTAATAATTAACAGATATAAATAGTTTGTGGTGAAAACAATAAAGTTGTATCAACTCTGCACAATTTCCAAGTGATTTCTAAAAATTATATTCATCTAATCACATTCACAATAATAATTGAACAATCATGATTATAACTTTATCTTCCAAATAATTTTCTCATTATATTCGATGGCTTTACACCGTATCACAGTAAGTTATGATATTACAGTGATTGGCAATCTGGAAGAAATGAGATAAAATTCTTTTAAGGATATGTAGAAAATAGAAATACAATAATTCATGTCTTTTGCATAAGTTTTATGGACACAAAAATATTTCTTGTGCAAAAATAAATTACATACTTTATATTGAAACGCTACTCTATTAAAGTATTTAGAAAGTAGTTACATTCATTTTGGGCAGTATTCTCAAAGGTCCTTGACATTCCCTTGGGTATGATCAAAGGAGGGTCTCATGTGAGAAAAACAGCTTATTCTCAAAGGAAAGGAAATGATACATGGAACAGAATCAATGTAAATACCCAAGTTTCGTATGATAGAGATACCAAAATATTCACTTAGAAAATATATTTTTTTCAAAGCCTTTGAGATGACACACTTCTAAAATTCGTTTTTAATCATACTGCCCAGTAGATTGCCATCAAATTAGCATTGCAGGCTCTCATTCCCCCCCACCCCAGGATCGAAAGCACACGTTTTATAAAGAGGTAGCAACTTTGGCACCTGGTGTAATAAATAGTTTTCCCTGTGGTGAGCGGGTGTCACATGCAGACAACCTGACTTCCCCTATGGCAGAGGTATGTCTGAGCCCAAATTCTGCTGGAGTACCTGCCGAACAGGTGCAAGAGTAAGATATGATTTAAACTTAGCCAATTTGGAAACATGTTTTGACTTAGCCACGAGGGACCCCTGCAAGGCAGCTTGGGAATGATGAGCGTGCTTTCGGTCCTTTCTCCTTTTTTGCCTTACTTTTCTTTCTCCCGGCCTTATTCTTGTTTGCCTTCCTTTTCTTGTCTTCTTTATACCAGGGGCCCCAGACCCCCCCATTGAGACGTGGGTTACTCCTGGGATCTTTAGCAGGGTACCTGACTGGAACTGCAGTCTTGTTGAACTGGGAAAGCCTCCGTAGAAGCTTCTTCACGATCCCTGGATACCTGCTGGAGAGGTCCACCCTCTCGTAGGGGTCAGCTGTGATGTTGAAAAGCCATAGGCTTTTGCCAGTGGACAAAGTGATCCGTTCATTGTGCCACCGGTTGGGCCCGAGGTTGCTGAACGACTGCGGGGGCACCCAGTCACCATAGCCAGGGTTGCCTGTGAGCAACTTCCAATGCTGCACTCGGATGGCCGACTGGATGGCAGTGTTCCAGATCCCATAGCCAGCAGCCCAGGAACCATTTTTTGCTTTGGTATACATGGGGTCAATGTTGTGCAAAATATCTACTCGGGGTGAACGGAGCCCCTCACTAATGGTCTCCCAGACATCATATCCATCGAGCTGAATGTCTTCATCGATCTGCCCTTCGGCCAGGGAGATCAGGGTGGGGTACCAGTCCGTGATGTGCACAAGTTCCTTGCACACTGTGCCTTTGTTTTTCAGAAGTGGGCTATGGACAAAGCCAACAGCTCGGATCCCTCCTTCCCAGTACGTTCCTTTGCTACCTCGGAGCGGCCAGTTACTTCCACCTGCCATGGGCTGACCCCCATTGTCTGAAGAGTAGATGATAATGCTATTGTTGTAGAAACCGTATGCCTTCAGAGCCAGGGTCACGTTGTGGATGGCTTCATCCAAGCAGGAGAGCATAGCGGCGTACCTCCTTCTGTTTATGTTGATGATGGACCGGTAGTGTTCCAAGTACCTGCCTGGGGCTTGCAGTGGTGAGTGAACCGCTTGATAGGCAATATATAAAAATATAGGCTTTGCAGGATTATGGGAAGCTAAGATTTGCTGCACTCTCTGAGTGTACATCTGTGTGGAATATAAGCCGTTGTCATAATCCCAGGCCGCGTGGTCATTTTCGTACAAGTCGTAGCCACAAACCCCAGGGCTGTCACATTTGTAGTGTGTGTAGTAATCACCACTTCCCAAGAGGGAGCCAAAAAAGGAGTCAAATCCTCTCCTCGTGGGCATGCATTCTTTCCTGTAAAAACCCAAGTGCCACTTGCCAACCATGTGTGTTGAGTAGCCCACCTCTTTCAGCTTCTGAGGTAGGGTTGCATTGTCCAGGGGTAAACAGTTGGGCTGGGTGGGTCTTATGATAGAGTGCTGGAGTCCTGTGTGTATCTGATACCTTGAGAAGAAAGTAAACACTTCGTCAGGGCAGGGCAAAAGAGATGATGCTCATTATGAATGGTATCCATATCAAATGTTTCTAGGAAGATGAGCTTTACCCAAATCATATATAATCAACTCAGGATTCCTATTCTTCACTGAGAAGTGATACTCTAATTAGTTTGATATTTAACATTGAAAATGCATTGGGATCTGAATCTGTACTTTTTTTTTTACATCCTTTTATTGTTATTGCAAAGGTGGTTTACAAAGGGATTACTGTTACGTAAGTCAGGTAAAGAGTGCATTTCTCTTTTGGACAATGTCACCCTTTTCTAGCTCTCTCCCAGTTTGGGTCTGTACTTTTTAAGCTAAGATATTGTTGCCTATCTCAAAGTTTTTTGAAGGTTGTTATAAGAGAATTAATTCAAATCATTGTTAGTCTTTTCATTATGTGACAGGAAACTAACAATGAAAGCACAGCATTGGAGAATTCTTGCTAATGTTTTCCAATTATGATCTTACGTTAGCTTCTAAATTATTCCCCTGGATCATTGTTTCAAACTTACTCTTAGGAATATATGCAAAATTGCACAAAAACGTCTTGATTGCTTGTCCAACGATAGTTCACATTTAGTATCCAGCCAATTGGAAAGCTAACAAGAGAATAAGAGGGCATCTGATGACAGAATACTTAATTGTTAAAAAGCTAGTTTGAAATAGATGTGGGAGCTAGAGCCGAGAATTATACTTTTCCCAATAACAACAGGAAATGAGTCTTTGTTTCCCACTGTCATTTGTATTTCAACCATTTATTGCCTAAGATCGGTTTCTATAGGTTACAATTTAGTGATTGTTCATTTCTAACATTTCATGGGCTTTTTCTTTTAGAAGCCATTATTATTCCACAAACGCATGCATTTTTAAATGGGTCCTGATGTATCTGTTCATGACACTTTAAAAGAGATGGACTGGAGTTATTCTATAAATTCAAAAAATACTTGCTATAGAATAATACAAAAATAAAAGGAAGAGGAGAAATTTGCAGAAGATTATTAGAGTAAAGGTGATGGCAATTCTTGGAATGAAATTAGAAAAACTAGCATTGATTCCCAAAATACAGTATTTTCACAGCCATTTATCCTGAGGGGCTAAAATATTATCCATGCTTTAAATGAATGGGTCAGTTCACCTCTAAATTTGCAGATGGTGTTGCAGTGTAATGATGATTGGGTTTAGAGTGTTAATGGCAGGCATACTCTGATGGTTTTGTGGGACTTGAGCTATTAACTGATGACTATTGCAAAGCTGGATTTGATACATGGAGAGTTGAACATTCTTGATATTATATGGAGATGACTTAGATTCCTCTGATACAGAGAGCAGAATAACTTTTCTGAAACACATAACACATGTAGATTTTTAATGATTGTCGCATGGAAAATAGAGTGTAAAACTAAAAATGAGAAGCTTCAAACCTTTAGTCATCTCTGACTAGAAGTAGAAGAAGCTATAAGTGTCATACAGCTTCTATAAGCCACTAAATATTTCTCATTGTAGTAATAGAAAGGTATAAAGGAAGAGGCTGGTAGAATACTAAGGAGTAGGGACGGAGTGTTGGGAAAGGACTTAATTAACATTCTTTCACTTTATTTATGCACTTTATCATCATCATCATCATCATCATCAACATCATCATCATCATCTATTTTCTTGGGTGACTGCACCTTTGATGTTTACAAAGATAGAGCAGGACATTTTCACAATTATTCACCTGAAACTACAAAATGTATTTAATCTTCCAGGAATATAATTTTTAACCAAGTGATTCAGGGCTGTAGTCAGTGCAAAACTAATGAATTGGTCTTACTGTGAGGAATATTGACCATGAAGGCTGTTCATGAATAGTTTGTAAACGCAATAAAAGGCTGCACTCAGTAAAAAACACATACATTTTTCATCTTTTACCACAATCTCATGCAGACTCCTACTGTACAACAGCCACTAGAATATCTATAAAAAACATACTTCCATTGTATAATGAATCTAAACAAATTAGCAAGTTAGAGATTCTGAAATAATTACAAGCATAATTCAAATAACAGCCAATATGGACAATCAACACAGACAGAGAAGTTTGTATTTCCCCTCCAATTCCATCTTTGTCATTCATAGTTGGTGAGCAAAATCATACCTACTACATGAGAGGACATTCTTAAATAATCCAGGAAATGACAGGCACCATTAGCTCATGCCTATAAACTTGGCTACCCAGGAGATTAAAATCTGAGGATCATGGTTCAAGGCCAGTCAGGGCAGCAAGTTCCATTTTCTCTCCAATTAACTTCTACATTGCTGGAAGTAGAGCTGTGTCTCAAATTGTAGAGCACTAGGCTGGGGCAAAAATATTAATGGACAGTGCCCAGGCCCTGAGTTCAAGCCTCACATACACATACACTTCCAGGAGCTGTTTCTACTATAATTCTCTTCTCCAGGGTGATGCTCTGATTAAATAAGATCTCATGTACTTGTCAAAGGTTTTTATGTCAGAAAAGTACTGAGTTGAAATTCTGGGTATGAAATTATAAACCAGCCCAAATCAAAAATGGTTATTTAATTTTAAATAGTGTTAATTGGGAAGTGTTTGTAATCAACACAGACATCTAATTTAATATTTGATTTCCATATTTGAAATGTAAATAAGAAGATTACTAGCAGATATGCTAATGATTCTTCCATGATTAGCTATTGTTCCAAGTTTAATTATGGCAAGTCCTTCTAAATATATTGCTATCCTGTCTTCTCCCAAAATATTGGTGACTTTATCTGTAGTTCCTTATTGGAAGAGTAGATTTAACAGTGACCACCATTATATTCTCATCATGGGATAATGAATATCTGCAGTCTTTAGTTAGACATTTACACATACATAGAACACAATAAAATATTATATAAGAATAACTTACAATGAAGAGGTTTAGAATACATGAATCAAAGTGGACCTAACTTTCATTATTTGAAAGTAATTTACTTTAGAACATTAGTCAAATTCTTTTCTAATGCAGTCTACAGAACAATACAATTTACTGTAACATTAAAAAAAAGGTGAAGCCTGGCACTGGTGGATCATACCTGTAATCTTAACTACTCAGGAGTCTGGGATCTGGGGATGGCAGTTTGAGGCCAGACTGAGCAGGAAAGTCCCTGAGATTCTTATCTCCAATAAACTACTCAAAAAAGTTAGAATTGGCCGGGCGTCGGTGGCTCACGCCTATAATCCTAGCTACTCAGGAGGCTGAGATCTGAAGATGGTGGTTCAAAGCCAGCCCAAACAGGAAAGTTCAGGAGACTCTTACCTCCAATGAACCACTCAGAAAACTGGAAGTGGCACTGTGGCTCAAGTGGTAGAGCGCTCGCCTTGAGCTGAAGAGCTGAGGGACAGTGCCCAAGTCCAGAGTTCAAGCCTCATGACCCACAAAATAAAGAGTTAGAATTGGTGCTGTGGCTCAAGTGGTAGAGCACTCATTTGAGCAAAAGAAATTCAGAGACAATGCCCAAGCCTACAGTCCAGCCCCAGGACTGGCAAAGAAAAAAAACAAAAAAGTGAAATGAACCACATGTCAGCTAATTTTACATGTGAAACTGGCTAAAGCATGGTATCCAGATATCTGGCCAACCATTCTTCTATATTTATTTTTTTAAGTGCTTTTGAGGTGAGATTAACATTTAAATCAGGGAAGTCTGATAATTATAAAGTAATCTGTTTATGAGACTCACCCTTTACAGTATGGGTGGGCTTCATGAAATCAGCTGAGAAACATAGATAAAGAATAATCTCTCCCTAATAAAGAATTGTGTCAATACATTGTTACTGATTTTGAATTGAAATAGGAACCCTTAGACTAAGTCCTTAAAATTAATCTTTGTCTCTTTTTTCTCTCTGTATAAGTGTGTGTGTGTGTGTCTGTGTGTGAATATGTGAACATGTGTCAATACATTCTGTTGGATCTATTCTACTTTCTTTTTCAAGAAAATAATAACTATTGCAGCAATGAGATGTACAAGTTTTATGTCAAAAATGAACTTTACAACTTTGATGGGGGGGAAGGAGAGGAGGATTGGGTAGGGGAGTGAGGGTGGGGGTGATGGGAAGAGATGGGAAGGGGAAACAAAGGAGGAGGCTACAATGCTTGATAAGAAATGTACTCATATATCTTGCCCATGTACTTGTAACCCCTCTGTACAGTATTTTCACAATAAAAAAAATAAATAATAAATGTATTCACTTTTGAATGATATTGATCATTGATATTTCTTGAACTAAATTTTAAGGATAAAATAATATGAAATTTGAAATTTGAAGAAAATAGCTGAAATCTTCATGATCAAGGAGATCACAGTAAACCTAATTCTTTTCTTTAAAAGGAAACAGTAGAAGAAATTGAAAGTAAGACAAAATACTTTTGCTTGTAGCAATGCAAATGAATTTTGTTCAATAAGATACACTTGATCTCTTCCCTATACAAAAGATCATTCCAAAAGTTTATTTTATACATAGTAACCAGCTTTTTCTTCAAATTTTCATTTGAAATAGAATTGGAATTTTAATTGTTTCCTCTTTAGTTAATGGCTTTAATTGGAATATTTGAGTAGGAATATTTGTACCCTTCGAACTTACACATTAAAGAAAAACAATAGCGCATTAAAAAATTAAAACAACCCAAGGAACAAATTTTGAAGCCCAAATACAAACAGCCATGCTGTGGTGAGTTCTTTGTTAGTTTCCCTTCAAATACCCATTCCTGGCAATATGTCAGGAAAGGCCAGAAATTACTACAATTTTAGGTAGAATGCTGATGTTTTACTTCTCTAATCCTAACTCCTCAGGAAGCTGAGCTCCAGAGGACCAAAATAATTTGCTTTGCTCTTATTGGAATATGAACTAAAAATAAACGAGAGCACAATAAAAAAAATGAATTGTAAGTTCTTTCTAACACTATTCACCTAATTGTGTAAAGA